GTTACTAGCAAGTCATCAATATAAAAGCATATGATTGTTATATATTGTGTTACAACATGAACATAGATACCATACTCTGATTTACATCTGATAAATCCCAATTTGACTAAGTATGAGTCGATCTTCTTGTTCCATGCCCTAGGTGCCTGCTTGAGGCCATAGAGCGCTTTGTGCAATCTATATACTTACTCGCTTCCTTCTAATCACAAACCCAGAAGGTTGTGTGACATAAACTTCTTCGTCTAAAGGACCATTCAGAAATGCTGATTTCACATCTAGATGGAATATCGACCAGCCTTGGTTGCATGCCAATGCTACCACTAGTCGAACAATCTCTAATCTTGCTACTGGAGCAAATACTTCAGAGTAGTCGAGTCCTGCTCTTTGAAGAAAACCTCGAGCTACTAATCTTGCTTTATGTCTTGCTATTAACACATTTGCATTGTGTTTCAACTTGAACACCCACTTTACTTCGATAGCTTTTGTATGTGCTGGCAATTCGACTAACTCCCATGTGTTTTTTCTTTCGATTACCTGTAACTCTTCGAACATAGCTAACTTCCACTTGTTAATCTTCAAAGCTTCGCTATAGTTGATTGGTTCAGTGCCTGCAAGTAAAGCAAAATGAACTAATTCTCCATCTGGTATGATTTCATCATCACCCACCACTTCACAATCATGAAGTCTTGTTGAAAGAACTCTATTTCTTTGAGGTTTTTGGCTTGTTTCAGCCACAACCTCTTTGACTGTGTCGGGAGTGTCAGCAACTGCTTCTTCTTCGACTTCGACTAGATTCTCAATAATTCCTTCGACCCCTACTTCATCAATTTCTTCGTAGAAATCAAAGTTCATTAATGGCTTGTTAATTGAATTGCTAGAATTCCAATCCCAGGCAGAATTTTCATTAATCACAATATCTTGATTCAACATAATCTTCTCATTAACTTGATTGAATAATATGTATGCACCAGTTTTATGATATCTTACCAGAACGATAGGTTCACTCTCGCCATCAAGCTTCCTTCTCCTTGCATCAGGAACATGCTTGTAATACATAGAGCCAAATGACTTACTGATGATCGTTTTCCACTCAACACTTCTTTAGGAACCTTGTTCTTTAATATCTTAGTAGGATACCTATTCAAAATATAAACTGCAGTTGAAACAACTTCTTCCCATAAAGACTTTGGCAAATTCTTTTGCTTCAACATGCATCTCGCCATATCTAATATGGTTTTGTTTCTTATTTCAGAAATTCCATTATGTTGAGGTGTATAAGGAGCAATTACCTCATGATTAACACCATGTTCTACATAGAAATCTTCAAACATCTTGGATGTGTATTCGCCACCTCCATCTGTTCGCAGAATTTTGATCTTCATCTCACTCTGGTTTTTGACAAGTATCTTGAATCTCTTAAAGATTTCGAATACTTCATCCTTTCGTTTGATCACATAGATTTATAACTTTCGACTAAACTCATCGATAAATGAAACAAAATATTTGTTTCCACCAATTGTATGTTCTTCGAATGGACCACATACATCTGAATGAACCACTTTGAGAATGCAGGATGATCTCATTGACATAGTCGAAATGAAAGAATTTCGGGATTGCTTTCCCACTAAACAACCTTCACGAAGTTTTCCAGGCATCTCAAGGCTTGGAATACCAGTAACAATATATTGAGTAATCAGTTGATTAAGTGATAGAAAATTCAAATGTCCAAACCTCAAATGCCACAACCAACTATCTTTATGGGCGAAAATAGTTTTCAAACATTGAACTTCTATCAAACTGATCATAGTCACAAATGTCTTATTCTTCAACAATGGAGATTTTAAGACCAAATTGTTCTTGGTGTCGAACAATTTCAAAACTCCATCTTTCATGACAATTGGGAAACCTTTTTTGACTAGTTGTCCAACATTTAGCAAGTTGTATTTTATTCTAGGTACATAGAGAACATCTTTGATCATAGCTTTCCCTTCATTACTCATTTGAAAGACTATGTTGCCAGTACCTTCTGCTTGCAATGAACTACTATCAGCATGTTTTACCTTGCTCTTCTTCGACTCGTCAAAATCTGCCAACCACTCCTTTCGACCAGTCATGTGGTTCGAGGAGCCTGAGTTGAGAAACCAGATCTTGGATTCGACATGGTTATCTGCAACTGCAGCCGTAACCACCATACCACCTTCAAAATCATCTGAATCTTGGCGTGCAAGGTTCGCTCCTTCGTCTTTGCCTGTTGATCCCTTGTCTTTTCTGTACCAACAATTCTTGGCCAATTGTCTCCACTTTTCACAGTTATAACATTGCATACCTTTCTTATCTTCTTTGTCCTTTCGATGGTTTCCTCCTCCCCTTTTCGAGGATTGAGAAGATCTATCTTCAACCTTATTCTTACGGAGATTCGACCAAGACTTCTTGCCACGAGTCTTGTCGAACTTGCCTTTGAATTTGTTGGAACCACCATCCTTTATCCATGACTGATCTTGTAGTGCTTGTATCGAGTCATGGACTCCTTTCCTTTCAACAATCCTCATCTCACGCGCCTCTAACGAACCAACCAAATCTTTCACTTTAGTGATTTCAAGATTGTTGGATTCTTAAATAGCTATGATAACATGATCAAAGTGAAAGTTCAACGTTCTCATTACCTTCTCAACTATCATCTTATCAGTAATGGTTTCACCATAACCCTTCATGAGATGGACGAGTTTCTGAACCTTCAATGCATATTCTGCAACTTTTTCATCTTCTCCCATCGACAACAACTCATATTGTCGATGCAAGGTTTGTAATTTAACAATCTTGACTTTCTCACCTCTTTCATAATACTTCACCAGAATATCCCATGCCTCCTTCTCCGTTTCAGCATGAGAGATTTTGTCGAAATTAGCAGCATCAACAGTCGTTTGAATATAGTAAGCAGTCTTGCAATCTTTCTTCTTGACTTTGTTGTGGGCTTTTTTCTATTCGTCGGTTGCATTTGCAGCCAACGCATGAACACCGTCGGTAACCACTTCTAGGGTTTCATGGAAGTCCAACAAGGATTGCGTCTGTTTTTTCCATCGGATTCAATTTTTACCGTCAAGCATTAGAAGAGAATTCAGAATACCCTTATCATTAGCCACTTCGAAGTGGTTGATTCACTTGTCTTAGAAACACGATCTTTGACGTGAAATTCTTGAAAACTTGATCAAGAAAAATAACCAGAAGCTCTGGATACCAATTTGTTAGTGCGTGAGGCACTTTTAATGAGGAGAGAAAGAGAGAATAATAAAGGAAATAAGGATTTGTATTATTAAATTGTTCAAATAATGATACAAAATATGACAATTTATATACAACCCTAATTGGATTTGTGGTAACAAAACTTGGATTATATTTAAATATTAAATTTAATCAAACATAATTTAATCTAATTTAATATTTTAATATTTTCTAGAAATTTGAAGGTGTTATGTTTTGTTATCTCCTTTGTGTTTAATGTTTACTTTGTTATGAAATGTAATAGTTGAAGTAGGGTTTGAATTAGATTGTTGATGATGAAACTGCAGATGCAGTGAATTTGAAAGGAATGAAACTATCAGACAATTTCTTATGAGTAAGTTCATCACAAACTGTTGAATTTCAATTACAATTATTATTAAAGTAGTTATTTGTTTGTTATTTCAGCTTTTCGAAGATGTGTGTATATTAGTTGGTAGATTTTTGTAGCTGATAGTTTAAGTTGATAACCTTAAGAGAATGAGAAAGCCCTAGAGTTAAGTAGAAAGACTAAAATTTCATTACATAAATTTTCATTACATAAGGCCTTAATAATCATATCTAAATCCTCAGGCTCAGAAAAAGTTTGACCAAGTAAAATATGATTCATCATCATCAGAGTCGAAAAATCAATTGTCTTCTCACCCTTCTTCTTCTTATTGCTCTCCTCTGCCTGAGAGTTCTTCTGGATATCAACAGTTCTTGATTCTGAGGAGGCAGAACATCTTCAACACTGTTGGAAGCTCTCTCACCATTGTTGGAAGCTTCAGCATAAGTACTCATTTGATTCTCCTTCTCTGATTTCTTTGGATGAATTTCTTTGAGTTTTAGTTCCTCTTCCTTGATCCTTGAAAGTGTAAAAGCCAAAAGATTTCATGTTTGCTCATTATTGGTTTTTTAATTCCTCAAGTTGTTGAACGATTATATCTACTTGTCTTTTCATATATATTTTTCTCTTCTTTGATATTCCTACTTATGTATAGCTTGATGTAATATAAGTTTTGATATCAATTCGCAAATGGTGTATTGCTGATTATTGTATGATATGAATGAGATTTATTCATAAACAATATCACAATGGTTATTTGTCACAACTATTGCTATAGGGCGCGCGCTTTTCAATTTACTACTACAATCACTAAACCGTAATGGAAAGTAACACATATACAATCACACGCTACATAACGCTATATCATTTTCAACCGTTATTAAAAACTTTTTTATAACAGTAAATCAACGAGACACAAATAACAAAGAGAATGACGACGAAAATACAAACATAAACCCAAATTTTGGTCATTAAATAGGCCACAAAATATGAAGAAAATGAAGGTGCAAGTGTAAAGCCATAAATCTATCATTAGAAATCACAAAGGATACAGAAGAAGAAAATGCAACAATAAATCTAAAACTGAGTCACTAAAATCCATTTAAAATACATAAACCCAGTGAGCGTGAATAAAGAAGACACAATTACAATGAAGTAACACAAAGTCATTCAGGCCACATCAAAATGCACACAAAATAAATAAATAACATTATGTTACAGCAACATATTACTATAATTTATTTATTTTCGTATTAAAAGTTCATGAAGAGGGAAAATTAGAGACCAAACTCACTGTGAAACATATTACAAATGATGCATAAAAGCCCAATACTTTATAATAAAGTAGAACCAGATCTAAATGAAATACTGATAATTGGCAACATTATATTTTAGTCTAAGAACTTGTAAATTTGGTTACAGCTTTGGTGCCCTCAGAGACGGCATGCTTTGCCAATTCACCGGGAAGAACAAGCCTGACAGCGGTCTGAATTTCCCTTAAAGTGATTGTTGGCTTCTTGTTGTACCTTGCAAGTCTTGAAGATTCAGCAGCAAGCTTCTCAAAGATGTCGTTGATGAAACTGTTCATTATACCCATGGCCTTGCTTGAGATACCAATGTCTGGGTGAACTTGCTTCAGAACCTTGAAGATGTAGATCTTGTATGTCTCCACGCTCTTCTTGTTTCTCTTCTTCTTCTTGTCTCCGGCAGCAGCACCGCCATCCTTAGGAAAATGATGATAAATAGGGCTATGTGAACTAGTGCTAGCTTGCACTATTGTTTTGTGTTTTGGCTATTTTGTTGTTGAGCTTGCAGTTGTTGTTTTGTGTTGTTTTTTTTTGTTATTTTAGCAGCCTGCTGCTAAGCTTGCAGTCGCTGCTGCTGTTTGTTTCTTGTTGCTGCATGTTGTTTTGGTTTGATTGTAGTGGGCTTGTTTTGGTTTGTGCTGCTGTTTTTGGCTTGTAGCTTTGTTGTATTGTTGTTATTGCTTGCAGCTTCTCTATCTTGGCAGTCTTGGATGTTTTGCTTGTTTTATATATGCTTTGCTGTGGTTTGGCAGCTTTGACTTGCAGCTGCTTTTGTGTATTTGCTTTCTTGTTTGCCTAGTTGCCGTGCTTGCCAATTGGGACTATTTTGATGCTGCTTTTGCAATGAAATTGTTCCAAATTTCTTTTCCTTTTTTGTGAACCAAAACCTAGACTTTTGTGATTTGAAAAATAGGATAAAATAGCCTATGATCGAAAACCCCTTTTGAATTTCTGATTCCAAATGCAAACCCTAATGATCAAATGCAAATTTCATTTAAAAATTAATTCTTGTTTGGAATTTTTCACATGTTGATGTTTGCTAACTTTTTCCTCTTTTTCTTGTTTCATGAGCATGAGGATTGGACGGTCAAAGCAAGGTTGAAAGATGAAGAAAAGTCACTGCGGGAAAGGAGGATGAGTTACTTGAAGACGAAGCAAAGAGACTTGAAGAAGGAACATCATTTCTATTTTTTAAACAAAACAATTGTAGTTCGTATTTCACACTGTAATCCCTTTTGTATATTGTCCCAAAAATGTAACTTGAACACGAAACTTGAACGAATTTTATGAATGATGAATTTGTTGTATGGAAATCAAATAATTCTTGAATCTTGACTTAAAATGGAAGTTTCCACTTGAATTTGGAAAATAATTGATTGATACTTGAATGTATTTGTTGAATGATGAATGAACAATAATGCAATCCTTAAGACTTCAATCTTGCATTTGTATTAGAGATTCAAATAAATTTCATGAATTGATCTTCAAAATTAAGCAGATTTACATCATGAGAATTTAGTTCTTTTGTATATTTTGAATCCAAAAGCAAATTCATATGAATGAATTGCGCCTCGTACACTTGAACTAATTTGAAATCAAAAGAATTATTCGAATTGTTTCTCAAATCTTCTTCTTTAAAACCCACATCTTCAATTCGCGGTAACTTGCAATACGGGCTAATAATACAAATTACGCCTTTAAGAGATTTAATCAACAATCCACCTTAATCAAATGATCGCTAATGTTCACTTGCAAATGACTTGAAGTAAGTGACAAGCAATCAATGAATCATTGAACTAGAACTCTAGTTTCATGAATTATCTCAACATAAGAATCAAACGTCCTTTGAGAAACGTCTGTGACATAAATTGAACCAAGCATAATTTGACCTCGATCTTTGAAGTAATCTCATAGACAACGCTATTCATGATACTTCTCAAAAAGAATCGCCTCAGGACGTTGATAATTGAAGAAGTTATGAACCTCGAAAATTGGACAATAGTTTCTTGTGATTATGTCAAATTTGCAAAATGACCTCTAAAGTATTTGAATTTTCTGATGATATTTCGCATGTAATCAACTCTTGACTTGTAAAGAGAAGTTGGATATGATGTCAAGGAGAGTCATACGCAAAAAGAACCACTAAAAATATTGAATAATGAAGAAATTACAATCGTTTGAACTTGATCTTGAAAAGGTCGACTTTTAGGTCAATGCAGCTGATTTTCAGTTATCTGAACCATTGACTGAGCAAACTTGTGATGCGCGGCTTGAAACTTGACGTGAGCATTCTTGAGAATACATGAAGGACTATGAAGACCACTTGAAACCTTGGAAACTCAATTTTTCTTGGGAAATACCAAACTCTATTTGTTGACTCAATGCATAGGAAGAGAATCTGTCTGATCAAACCCTGAGTCATTTTGAGTATTTGAGAAAACCTATGATAATATCTTGAATGAAAAAGGGAGGGTAAATTTTGGGGTACAACATACGCGTTATGTAAAACGTAGTACTGGTATGAGAGGATAAGAAGAGGAATTATGATGATTTTCATGGTCCAAATTAATGGATAATAACAAGGCTCGTGGTCCAATGGCTATAGGAAACCCTAAAACTTATGAGGATATAAAAGGGTCACCTTAAGGAAATGAAAGGAAGTTCAGAAGTTCAGATATTGGGGGAATAACTTAGAAATATCTTGTATGGAGAATAAGAGGTATGAATCATAAGTGAATAGAACTTGTCATATTTCCATTCTTGAATAAGTGTTGAGCTATCAGGCGTGATAGAACTTTCCTCTTTCAGATTAAATATTGTAAAAAGTAGATGTGTTACACTTAGATTTACATTTCATTTTTCTTGGTGCTTAGAAATGTTAACTTTAAAAACTTGTGTTGTTGTATTTCTTCTGCTCGCCATGAGCTAAACTTTCTATGTTGACCAATGTGAAATTGAATGGAAATTGGTATTTTGTGTTAAATGATGTGATTCTAGTGATGCATTTTATCATGTAAAATATTGTTATATATTTGTTTATATGTCTGATCATCTTAGAAATAGGTAAAATCTTGTTAGTGTTGAGATATTATTTGACGAGTGGGCTTCATGGTAAATAAGATTGAAAATAGTAGGATAAACATATTCACTAGATTAGTCACTTTAGACATAAAAGACTACAATCATAGGTAAAACCAAAATTTAAACAAGACATGTTTTAATGTTATTATGAGACCTAAAGGTTTGTTCTCCAAACTTAATGCATGTGCTTTGATGTTGTACACATACACCATTAGATCATTTTGTCTTATATGTCACGGTAAATCTCATCATTCACACAATATATGAAACCCATTAAATGGATCATTGCCCAACATGTCTCACACTAGTGATTTAACTCCCATTTTCCTATTTATTATTCAACATGCATATGCAAAAACCAACCATTATTATCATCTTTTGCTCATTATTATTCACAAAGTTTCATAATGAGAATCAACTTAAGTTAGTACAATCTATGTGGAATTAAAATTCTTATTTTTACATCACTTGTTATTATTAGACGGCGTATATTGCACATATAAATATCCACTAATCACTACTATAAAACGCACATACAATAGCGCCAAAGTCATCATCGTTCTTCCAAACATTGTGGTGTCACTTCTAAACTCATGCGCTAACCTTTTTTTATTTTTTAATTAAAAATTTCAAGGGTATAGTAACGGTTGATGAGAATATCGTGGTGATACCGTCAAGCTTTCATGGGTTTGAACCTCTTTTCCTTAAATAGTTTATTCATTTTATGTTAATATGCGTCTTTTTATTTTTATTTTTATTTAAATAAAAATAATAGGATGTCACTGTAGTTGTTTTGTAAAATTGTTGTTACACACTGGCGTTTCTTTATTAAATATCATTATGCAAAAAGTATATCATTATGGTTCACAGTAACGATCGTGATGATATATATATATATATATATATATATATATATATATATATATATATATATATATATATATATATATATATATATATATATATATATATATATATATATATATATATTAAACACTCAATATCCATTTTTCTACTGGAAAAAAAACAAGACGAAATAACCCTAACACCAATGTCGTCTCCATCGTCGCGAAGGAAGACAACAACACTGACACAATATTCTCCTTTACGGTACGTAAACTATTTTCGACATTGTTGTTGTTTAGTTTCTTTTCAATGTCACATTTGAAGACAAACTCATCCAAAGGTGTTTTTATGTCTTCTTCTTCTGTAAAATCTCGATCTGAAAATTTATGTGATTGTGATGGTCGTATGGTTCTGTACCAATGCAAGAAGAGACAAAATAAAGGAAGAATTTTTCGGACATGTCCATTTTTTAGGAGTGATGAGACATGTAATTTGTTCATATGAGATTAAGACGGGAGAAAAAGGTTGAAATAAATTCAGAGTTGGACGTTGTGGAAGTTATGGGCTATTTAAAGGATATGTATGAAGATTCAAAGAAGAACAAACTGAAATCAGAGATTTTTTAGAAATTTGAAGATGTTATGTTTTGTTATCTCCTTTGTGTTTAATGTTTACTTTGTTATGAAATGTAATAGTTGAAGTAGGGTTTGAATTACATTGTTGATGTTAAAATTACAGATGCAGTGAACTTGAAAGGAATGAAACTATCAGACGGTTCATCATAAACTGTTGAATTTTTAATTACAATTTTTATTCAAGTAGTTATTTGTTTGTTATTTCAGCTTTTCGAAGATGTGTGTATATTAGTTGGTAGATTTTGTAGCCGATAGTTTAAGTTGATAACCTTAAGTGAATGAGAAAGCCCTAGAGTTAAGCAGAAATACTAAAATTTCATTACATAAACTTTCATTACATATGGCCTTAATAATCATATTTAAATCCTCAAGCTCAGAGAAAGTTTGACCAGGTATAATTTGATTCATCATCATCATCAAAATCGAAAAAATCATTTGTCTTCTCACCCTTCTTCTTTTTATTGCTCTCCTCCGCATGAGAGTTCTCCTGGGTCTCAACAGTTCTTGATTCTGATGAGGCAGAACATCTTCAACATTGTTGGAAGCTCTCTCGGCATTGTTGGAAGCTTCAACATAAGTACTCATTTTGGTTCTTCTTCTCTGATTTCTTTGGATGAATTTCTTTTTGTGTTTTGGTTCAAAGAGTAATTCTAATTTTATATTGTTTCTTCTTATTCTTCCTCTTCCCTGATCCTTGAAAGTCTAAAAGCCAAAAGATTTCAAATTTG